AAGGACATCTCTGTGAGTTCAAGGCCAGCCTGGTCTATGTAGTGAATTATAGAGCAGCTGGGACTATAGGGAGATCCTGTCTCAGAAAAACCAAAAAAAAAAAAAAAAAAAAAAAAAAAAAAACCTGAAAGAAAACCCTAGAGGTTTCCTATTCCTAAAGTCCTGACCAGCTAACAGATTTAGAAAGTTGTGTTTTAGTGATCAAAATATGGTGGAAAAAGTGTTGATATTAACTTGATTTTTTTTTTTTCCTTTAAAATTGTTTAGACTAATTTTAGAAAATGCCAAGTAGGAAATTTGCTGATGGTGAAGTGGTCAGAGGTCGATGGCCTGGGAGCTCCCTTTATTATGAGGTAGAGATTTTGAGCCATGACAGCAAATCCCAGCTCTATACCGTCAAATACAAAGATGGAACTGAACTTGAACTGAAGGAGAATGACATCAAGGTAAGAAGAGTACCTTTGGCTGTAGGGAGTAACTAGTAGTAGTTTCTGAGTTCAGGGTAGCTGTTTGGAGGCATAGGGTCAGACTCCTGCTTTGGGGCTCCTATTCTGGGATGTGTGAGTGAGGTATGGGTACAGATCCCAGGAAGCCCAGTGTTCTGGCAGTGATGGTTGGTCCTTTCTGTCTCCTCCATTCTGTAAGGTGTTTGCTGCAGTGGACTTACACAAGCTAGGAATAGGGCCTGGTCTCAGGACAGGTCCAGCACTGGTTGACACCTGAGCTGAGTGCTGGGGACAAATGGGGAAACAGGTATTAGGGTGGTTTTTCCGGAGAAGGCTGCATGCCAAAGGCCTGTGAGTGATGGAGACAAAGTGCCAGAGGGGTGGGGTGACTGGGGGCTAGCAGAGGGGTAAGCAGGAGGCAGACTGCAGGAGTTTTTAATACCCCATGTCCAGGGCTTGGGCCTCGTCCTGAGCACTGATGCTTTAATTTAATTGGAGTGACATTTCTTAGATTTGAAGTCTGCTCACAGCTTCTCAGTCTGGTGAGCACTTGAATTTTAAACTATCTTACCATTTAGATCAGATGTATAAACACTTAGATCAAATGCATAAAAATGAAGGAAAAAAGTATATCTTAAATAAAACTGCAGATTTTTAGTTAGCTTCTCCAGATATGAAATTAGTTTGTCAAAATGCTCCAAAAATTTCTATTTAGAACTTTGTTATTTTGGTCCTTGTCACACACCAGTACCTGATAGTTTGGATCCATGCTCCATGGATTACACTTTGTGCATGCTAGAAAATGTTTTAGGCTTTTTTGGTTCTAGAAAATGTTTTGGGCTTTTGGTTCATGGGGTTTCTGCAGCATGGGAACAGCTCCCCGCAGTATGGAATATGATTTTCTTTTGATGTTATCAGTCACTTAAGGGATGTAAAAGCCATCCTTAGCTGAGGGCTACATATATGAAACAATGCATGGCCAGAGGCCCAGTTTGCCTTTCTCTGGTCTAGATCCCTAGGAAGGAGGAAGAAGTGATTTGGAGTGGGCTAGGACAGGGTGCAGCTGAGCCAAGTAATCTTTTCAAGATCCCCTTGTGTGTTTGCAGGGGGAATCTGTGGGACTGCTTACTCTTTGGAAAATGGGTTGCATGCTAATTTCTTTGGTGTTACTGTATCACTTTTTAAATTATTAGTTACCATATCAGTTTTAATTATTATTAGCTGTAACCCTTCTTAATTTGTATAGCTAGTTGGGTAGACACTAAATGGAAATATTGTCTAAGCATAGTGGGGGGAAGCTATATTTGTCTCCTAAGAGCTGGGGTCATTGCAGCCTTTTCCCGTTGGTTTTGTGATCAGTTCAGATCCTGTGGTTCCCTTCATGGTTTAAGAGTAAGTGGCAGCAGATAGTGGCTTTTACTGACTTGTCTAGCTTAGCTATGTTACTGGAAGTTTGAGTATTGATGAGCTCTCTGTTGCCCTCTCTCTTTCTAGCCTTTAACATCCTTTAGGCAAAGGAAAAGTGGTTCAACTTCCAGCTCTCCCTCCAGACGCCGAGGGAGCCGTGGGAGCCGGTCAAGATCACGCTCTCGATCCCCTGGCAGGGCACCGAAAAGTTCCAGAAGATCTGCCTCTGCTTCCCACCAGGCTGACATTAAGGAAATGAGAAGGGAAATTTTGGAAGTTAAATTGACCCCACTTGTGTTGGTACCTATCTTTATCTTTTACAGTGTTTTCGTGTCAGTCTTCCCTTTATGAAAATGTTTATTCAGTTATTTGCAGTTAATGCTAAAATGTTAGTGAGATAACAAGCATGAAGTGATAGCAAGTGTTTGGAATAGAAAGTACAGTTTTTTAAATATCCAAGAAAAATCATTTTTAAATTTTAAATTAGTTATTAGTGTGTGTAATGTGTGTGTGTGTGTGTGTGTGTGTGTGTGTGTACTGTGTATATAGGTGTGCATATGGAGGTTAGACGACAACTTTGTGGAGTTGGTTCTCTCCTACCACTTTTTTTTGGGGGGGGGGGCTTTTTGAGACGCCTTTAATTTTTGCCCATGCCTTTAATTCCAGCACTTGGGAGGCAGAGGCAGGTGGATCTCTGTGAGTTCGAGGCCAGCCTTATCTACATAGTGAGTTCCAGGACAGCTGGGGCTACAGGGAGACCCTGTCTCAAAAAAACCAAAAAAAAAAAAAAAGAATGTTTAAATTTGAAACAGACGTAGCTGTAGGCTACAAAATGAGACCTAACTTCAGGGAAACAGTCTTGTCTCCTAGCACCGTCAAGCCTGATCATTTTGACTATTTAAAGATGACTATTTTCAGTGAATGACTTCTCATAGTGCATGGATGGCAGTATCAGGGTGTGTGGCCTGGAGACCTTGCACAATGAGTATTACAGTTGATATTATATGTAGTATATTATTTGTTTGGTTTTTCAAGACAGAGTAGCCCAAGCTGGCCTTGAACTTGCTGAAATCTTCCTGCCTCAGTCTCCTGAGTTTTGGGATTATAGGTCTGAGCCACCACATTTGGCCAATGAGTATTTTTTAGTTTTTATTTTTTTCTCCTTTCATTTTGGTCTTTTTTGAAATAGGCTCCCCCTGTAGCCCCAGCTGGCCTAGAACTCACTGTGTAGACCAGGCTGGCCTTGAATTCGCAGAGATATGCCTGCCTCTGCCTCCCAAGTGCTGGGACTACAGGCATGTGCCACCACACCTGGCACTGGCCAATGAATATTCTAAATGGTAGACCAAATAGAAAGTATTTGAAGTGTAAAGAATTATCTTGTAGTCCATTCACTTAAAACTATAGACTATATAGATACTGGTTTGTAGTCAGACATTTAAAAAAAAATTTATTTTTATTTTATGTGCATGCATGTATTGCCTTCATGTAAGTAAGTGCACCCATGTTCTGCAATGCCTGCGGAGGACAGAAGAGGCTGTTGGATCCCTTGGAACTGGAGTTATAGTTGTTAGCTGCCATGTGGGTGCTGGGATTTGAATCTGGGTCTTCTGCAAGAACAGCCAGTGTTCTTAACTGCTGAGCCATCTCTCCAGACCCCTGTAGTCAGACTTTTTAAATGTAAATATATTGGGGATAACTTTCCATGACATTTTTCTACCTTTTTTATGTTGCATTTTGTGTGTGTGTGTGTGTGTGTATGTGTATGTGTATGTGTGTGTATCATATAGTTGTAGTGTTAAAGTCAGCTTTGTGATACAGTGTAGTGTTTTTAAGTCTTCACTACTTTAAATAACTATTTTTATGCAACATCTGGTTATCTCCTTAGGATAAGTTCTCACAAGTGAACTGCTAGGTCAGATGGGTGACACAGATCAGACTTTTACTACATGAAAGCCTGCTTTCATTCTGGGTATTGCATCATTTTTTTAAAAAAATATTTTATTATTTTTATGTGTACACGTGTATTGCCTGCATGTAGGTAAGTGTTGTGCAGTGTCCAAGGATGACAGAAGAGGCTGTCAGATCCCCTGGAACTGGAGTTATGGACAATTGTTAGCTGCCATGTGGGTGCTGGGATTCGAACCTGGGTCTTCTGCAAGAACAGTCAGTGTTTTTAATCGCTGAGCCATCTCTTCAGCCCCCAGTTTTTTTTTTTTCCCCCCATGGCTTTTAAGAGGCTTTTTTACCCGCCCCCCCCCCCCCAGTGTTTTGCTCATTACCATGAGTTTGCCCTTTCTGCTCTGAATACCTTGCTACTTGTCAGTGACTTAGGCTAAGGAGCGGATGCTGTGCACTGTTCTGTCACACTTAATATTTAAGGGCTTAGATTTTTATGCTGTTACCTTGTCCTGGTAACAGGACAGCTATAGCCTGTCTTTTCCCTGCCAGTGGAGCCCTCCCCTCTGCCTGTGTGTGCAGGGACCATGTTCATGCTGCATGCTGTGTGTACAGGACTTCATTCAAGCTGCCTGGTGTGTGTGCAGGACCTCATTCATGCTGCATGCAGCTTGCTCATCAGGCACTCCTTTCCACTCCTGGTTGTGGTCTTCCTCAGTAATTCACCTCACAGTGTTAAAGATTCTGTCCATTTCATGGAGAGAATGTGGTTTACACTCATCATGGCTTGGAGTTGACTGCCTGTGCTATATTCCATTTGTGCTTACCACAGTTTATTCTCAAACCGAGAAGCTGTGTGTAGCTTTTAGGGGCATCCCTCTGCTGATAAGTGATTCATTGGTACTTTGGTAAACTCATGTATGCTGAATGCCCCTCTGCTTAGGAAGACCTTGATTTGAACTAGAGCCTGTGACTGTGTTAATGCTGTCATTTGTCAGCTGGCCTTTCAAAAGATATGCTTGGATTTTTAATTCGTTTTTTTTTTTTTCTTCTTGGCTTACTAGTGTTTTAATTTGTTGACTTACAGAGGAGGGAAGTGACTATTTTAGATATACATTGTCTGAAAAATCTTCTGCAAGACAAATTACTTATCTTTTTTCAATAGGAAATTATGAGACTGAGTTTGAGAAAAAGGGACATGTAGCTGGGGTGGTGGTGCACGTCTTTAATTCCAGCACTTGGGAGGCAGGTGAATCTCTGTGAGTTCAAGGCCAGCCTGGTCTACATAGTGAGTTCCAGGCTAGCTGGGGCTACAGAGAGACATTATCTCGGGGCGGGGGAGGTTATAGGAAGGAAAAATTAAGGTTAAATATCAGGTAGTATGAAATTAAAACAATAATCTATAGTCGTAAGTAACATCACTGTGCACTGTTTCCATTGTTTGGCTGTTCTGGGGGCAGTGAATGTTTTTTTTTTTAAAGCCAACTAATGAATGAATTTATCAGTTTTTACTTCTGCCTTTCATAGCAGTTGTTATAGTATCTGACAGTGAAATTATTAAAACATTTAGTGTAGTAGTTGAAAGATGGGGGATCTGAAGTCTGTTCCAAAACTGGGCTCTGTTAGTGCCTCCTTGCAATCCCAGCACTTGGAAGGATGAGAGGATTGGTACAAGCTTGAGGCTAGCATGGGTTACGTAGTGAGTTTCAAGCTAGCCTGGGCTACATAATGAAACTCTGTAAAAACAATAAAAAAATCTAGTATAAACTTTCCAAGAATTAATAAAATAGTTTTAAAAAATTAAAAAATCTATAGTGTAAGGCCTCTGAGGACTGGGAAAGTGTAATTGATTTTTATCTCTTTGTTTTTAACAAAAGGCAGCTGAAATTCTTTGAAATTAAGTCTGTGGAAATCTTTTATTGCTTGATTTCACAGTGGTAATTAGTCACCATTGTGTCCCTTTTTTAATAACTTACAGTCTTCTGATTAAAGTGTTTTATATTCAATTTAGAAGCCATTTGGAAACAGCATCAGCATATACAATGGTGAGCCAGAACGCACCGAGAAGAGTGACATTCCTCACAAAAGCATGCAGTATCAAAGCGCTTTTTCATCTGGGGTAATTTTGTTGTTGTTTATTTTTCCCTAAAGTCTTATACTGGAATTAGTTGTATTTTATAATCTGTTCATAGTCTGTCTTTAAAACTGCATATAACTTAACATTTATTCTTGTAAGTCCACAGCTGTACAGAGATGCTGAATTAGCATTTGTAGTAATTGTTGACTTTTGGTATTTAATACTTTATTTTTATTTAGGAAAGATTCATTTTATCACCAGAAGGCAGTTACATATCTACACAGTATAGCCTTCGTCCAAGAAGAGAAGAGACCAAAGTCAAAGGAACAGATTACGAGGAAGAAAAGCTTGTTACAAAAGGACCTGCACCTTTGAGAATCTCTGAAGTGGTCACCCCACAGAGGAAGGACTTGGAGTTTGGAGGAGCACCTGGTTGGTGCCAGAACTTCATTGGGGGGGGCGGGGGGAGGGGGGCACATTTGCTCCTATGTGCACAGGAAAGGTCTCTCTGTAGCAGAGAGAGGAAGAATAGATGGGAGGCTGAGGAAGAGTTTACAGAGAAGAAACAGCAGTGTGAAGGCCTGAGCTTTGGGGGACAGTCATGGAGTAGAATAGATGCTGGAATGTGGCTGTATTTAAACCTTTGGCTGTGTGTTAGGTCTTGAGCAGAGAAATGCAAAGAAGTGATGGAGTTTGACCTGAGGGCTGTGTAGAGGAATGATAGAGGCTGGCGATCCTGTAGGGGCAGGGGGATTGAAGTAATAAGATGGCAGGCCTGGTGTGAGCCTTCACAGCAGAAGCCAGGGTAGCATAAAGCAAGGTCTTGCTGCTTGCCCTACCTGCTAGGCAGGTTTATTGTGAGGGCCAAAGAGGAACAGTGTGCAGAGCCTGTGCAGATGGAGCTGAGGAAAGTTGATGGGCTAGTGAAAGAAAATTTTTGGCCAAATGGCTTACAGTTTAACGTGGTTTACCTGCTCTGCATGCTCTTAAGTTATAACCCTTGGCTAGTCTGTCACAGACGGTATCCAGCAACGCCTAAAATCTGCGTGCTGCACAAGTGTGAGAGTATTTTAAATGTTAGAAATGTATGGATTTAAAGTGTTAAGATAAAAGGACTCAAGCAAGGTGTGGTGGTACATACCTTTAATCCTAGCACACAGGAGCTTGAGGCAGGTAGATTTCAGTGAGTTCCAGGCCAGCCGGGTCTACATAGCAAGTTCCAGGTCAGCTAGGGCTACATAGTAAGAACCTGTCTCAAAACCCACAAAAGACTAGAGGGCTCCTTTTCAAGCTGACTGTAGTGGTTCATGCCTATAATCCTTATACTGGGGTGGTTGAGGAAGGAGGATCTGTAGAGGTCAAGTCTGGGTTACATAGTAACTTCCAGGGCTAGTATAGGCTACATAACAAGGCCCTATTTCCCCTCTTAAAAAGATTAGAGTGACCACTGTTAGATGTTTGGTCTTTCCTTTGCTGGTGTTTCAGTTCTTGCTCCTCTGGTGGTTGGTGTTGAATATTTCAGAGCTTGGCCTCTGAGGTAGGACTTAGCTGTCTGGGGCTGAATTTGTGCTTTTACCACATTGAATGCCCATGGTTGTTTGCCCATTGGAAATGAGAAAGTGATAAAGAGGGTTTTTTTTTAAAAAAAAATTATTTCTGTGTGTATGAGTATTTTGCCTGCGTGTACGCAAGTCAAACGTGTGCAATGCCTGTAGAGACCAGAAGAGGGCGTCAGACCTCCTAGAGTTGGAGTTACTGATGGTTGTGAGTCACCATGTTGGTGTTTGGGAACTGTAACAGCAGCCAGTAGTACCCTTAATATCCAGCCCCAGGTTTTTAAAAAAAATTATTTGTGTGTGTGTGTGTGTGTGTGCGCGTGTGCTCGCGTGCTGTAGTGCTTTTGTGGAAGTCAGAGACAACTTGCACCATGTGGGTCTTGGACACCATGTGGGTCTTGGGGATTGAACTGAGGCTGTCAGGCTTTCACAGCAAGCACCTTTACCTGCTAAGCCATCTTGCCAATCAGAGGTAGTTTTTTTTTTAAAAAATATTTTATTTATTTTTATTTTGTGTATGAGTGTATTGCCTGCATGTGTGTAAGTGCACCTGTGTTATACATTGCCTGCGGAGGTCAGAAGAAGGCATCAGATCCCCTGGAACTGGAGTTACAGATGGTTGTTAAACACCATGTAGGTGCTGGGAATCAAACCTGGGCCCTCTGCAAAAGCAGTCAGTATTCTTAACTGCTGAGCCATCTCTCCAGCCCCAGAGATAAGGAGTTTTGATGCTACATTACAAAGTGGTTTTAGACAACTAGCCAGACCTGAGTTTTGACCTAAAAAATAAAACCCCATAAAAAAAATAAAGCAGGTGTTTTTTAATTATACATAACCTGGATTGAAGTTTGAGCTTTGACTGTGGACTGACTTGTTTGCAGGTGCATTCTTCATCATGCTGGGCTTACCTGGTTCCCTGTTCCTGTTGCTTTTGCTGTGTAGACAGAACGATCCCAGTCTGTTGAGTTTTCCTCCTCCTTTGCCAACTTTGGATGAATTATGGGAAACCAGAGTGTGTGGTGTCTACCTCCTCTGGTTTTTTGTTCAAGCTCTGTTCTACCTCCTACCAGTTGGGAAGGTAAGTTTTTGCTGGGAGCATGTAACTTCCTGACTTTTCCATTGCTTACACATAAATTTATAGCAGTTTTAAGAGGATGCTATCAGAGCTGTCAAAACTTAGTTTCTGCTATGCACTATAATTCACTATAGTGATGCTATAGTTAAGCATCACTTTTAAAATATGATTTAGATTTCTCTTTTTTCTTTTTGTTTCTTTTGTTTTTGTCTTATTGAGACAGGGTCTCTCTCTAGCCCCAGCTGACCTGGAACTTGCTATGTAGACCAGGCTGGCCTCAAACTCAGATCTGCCTTCCTCTGCTTCCTGAGCATGTGCCACCATACCCAACGATTTAGATTTCTTGTATAACTTTCTGTATTGTTACTTTTCTTTTTGCTGTGATGCAATACCTGACAAAAACAACGTACAGAATGATTTATTTTGGATCACAGGTTGAGGGTGCAGTCCACATGATGGCAAGAGAGTCAGGCAGCTGGGTACACGGCATCCATAGCCAGGAAGCAGAGATAGACAGTGCCAGTACTCAGCTTGCTTTTCTCCTTTTTCTTCAGTCTAGGACTCCAGTCCATGAAATGGTGCCTCCCACATTTAGGGTGGGTCTTCCTACCTCATACTAATCTAAAACTTCTTCACAGGCATGCTGTCGTAGTTTGTTCTTCATTGCTGTGACAAAATACTCTGACCAATACCAACTTGGTTTTAATTCAGCTTAACATCTCTCAGGTCACAGTTATCACAGGAGTCCAAGGTAGGAACTCAGGGCAGGAACCTGGAAGCTGGAGCACAGGCCATGGAGGAATGCTGCTTACTGGCTTGCTCCCTGGCCCCTGCTCAGCCTGCTTTCTTATGCAACACAGGCCCAACTGCCCAGGGATGGCACCACCCACAGTGGGCTGGGCCCTCCCACATCACACAACAATCAAGAAGATGCCTCACAGACATGGCCACCGGCCAGTTCAATGGAAGAAATTCCCCAGTTGAGGTTCCCTCAACTCAGGTGTGTCACGTTGACACTAAAGCTTTCCAGCACACATGCCTAGAGGTTTGTCCTCCTAAGTCATTCTTGATCCTGTCAAATTGGCATTCAGTATTACCATCACACTTTTCAATCCAAATAGAAAGGAATAAGTAATTTGGACATCAACTTGACTCTTGGTAGAGACAGTTGGGGAAAAGAATATTCTCAGTGTGTTCACTTAGGTATTAGAATCTTAACTCATTGATTGACTTCTGAACTCAGTGAATTTTAGCCTGCTTTTTTTCTTTTCTTTAGAGCATGTTTTCAATTTTGATCCTTTTTAGAAATTTGTTGTCAAGAACACTGTGCTTTTCAAACTTGTGTAGTGTCTTTTAGATTCCCTCCTGTTGCGAAAGTGTAGTTTTCTCTTCCTTCAGTTGTGTACTTTTCTTAGAGATATATTCAAAGGAACATGAGATGCCCTAAGCAATAAATAATTTATTTCAGGATCTTATTCTTAGGGCATTGTACCTTTGCCAGTCATAAGTTCTGTTAGGAGTTTGGAGTGGCTAATGCCAGTGTTAGGAGGGTAGAGCTGCAGTTCAGTGCTGTGGAATCTCACTGTAACTGGTTCCGTCGGGGCTTCTTTGACCATGGATCTTAGTCATTATTACAGTAGGCTCTCCAGTCAGATTCAGAATAAGTTAGGGTGATACTAGTTCAGGCTAGATAGTA